AAAAAAAAAAAAAAAAAAAAAAAAAAAAAAAAAAAAAAAAAGATAAGGATATAAAGAATGGTACCAGACAATCACTGCTTAAATGGTTCTCTTGCTAGAACAAGAACCCCAAGTAGGTTGGCACCAATTTGCGGCCCCACAAAAGTCTTCTCCGGAGCCACAGAAGTTGCTGCCACTACAACAGAGCCCATCTGCGCATTTTTTGTTCACAATAGGACCGCAAGTTTCCCCCTCTTGTGAGGTACCGTGCTGTCCAGTGGGCTTCGACGGCTTGCTCATATTGGCGCCGCACTTTCCGAAGCCACCTTGACATCCGGATCCGCAGTACAATGCTTGATCTTGGATGTCATTTTTAGGTCCGCAATGGCCGGCAGAGGAACAGCAACGATAGAAATAGCCATTGAGACCGGCGCCGGGACACGACACACCGCCTTCCGCATGACCGCAGACATCTATCACGGGGACTTCGGACATGAATGAAGTGGAGGCCGGGTTCGGTGCGGTCGTGGAAGATGCCTCGGGCTTCTTTAACGTAGTATATCAGAATCATCAACCGCCCAGGGATCAGTGATTCATTACTTACAGCACAGCTTGAACCAGCACCTGAGAATTTACTCAAGCAAGTTGATGAGTCACAATGCGCAGCATCTGTGTCACACTGTTGGTGTCAGTATATGGTCTTATCACGATAACGATTTGGTGGCCCGGAGTTTAAGTCGTCAACTCTGCACAACAAAGTCCGTTGTGCGGCCACGCGCTGTACATTGGCCACCTTGGTACAAAGGACAAATGAGAAAGCTGGCATACCCATCCATATTGGCTGCCTAAACAGTAAAGTAAACATGGCGAAAATGAGGAAGCAAGAGTGAGCACTTACAGCACTTTCTAGCAGCACAAACTTGGTTGCCATACTGCGGGCCGCAGTTCTGGCCCAAAGCGCCAAACGCGAGAGAAGCAAGAGTAATCCCAAGGAAGCGCATGTTGAAGGTTAGGTTGAGACAGACCTAATTACCTGGGAGCGAGGAGGCATATAAATAGGTAAGTCTGCCGCCTGCAGGGGTAACCGAGTTAAAGCAAACACGGGGGGTCCGACGCGCCACGTTCGTATACAAGGCGCTTAGGAGACGCAGAGAAAGTCAAATTCCATAGGCGGCTCGGAGAATCTGAGATTTCAGCCATGATACGAGACGGGTAGGACAAAGATGCGCCACGACCTAAGGGGCCGTTGAGAGGCTGGAGCAAAACTGCAAAGTACTACTACATAAGTACCGCCCCTGCCGTCACGCACGTATGACTAGGTCTTACCCTGATCATTGATGACCTGCTAGCTAGGTAAGCGCCGACTTGGCGCGGTAGATTGGCTAGATTGAGATCGCGCATCCACGTGACCTTGCAAGGTCCCCCTGCCTCTCTCAGCCTGATATTGACCTGCTCTCCGTGCCTCCCCACAGTC